GAGTTGTTACTCTCCTTCCCTTTCAGATACTTTGAGGAGAGGTGGTAGCATTTTGTGTGGGGGACAGTCCATGTATAGTAGGCATAGGCGATCGTCATCACTTCCCGATAAGAGGAGAATTGCCTCGAGAAGTGCTCGGGGTGTTCTCCCCTTGCTTTCTAATAACGGTGATGGCAGAGGAGGGTCATCTTTAGGAACTGGGCATAGTGATGATGAGATTTCTACTAATTTTGGAGAGTTAGATTTAGAGGCTCTGAGTAGATTAGATGGGCGGAGGTGGTCATCAAGCTGTCGGAGTCAGGATGAGTTAGGAATTGTAGCTCTAAATGGGGAAGGAGAAGAGGAAGGCACTCCGGAAAATATTAGGAGCTTGAGCCAGAAATACAAGCCAATGTTCTTTGAGGAATTGATTGGTCAGAATATAGTAGTTCAGTCCCTTATGAATGCTGTTTCGAGGGGAAGGATTGCCCCTGTCTATCTTTTTCAAGGTCCTCGAGGGACTGGAAAGACATCATCGGCCAGGATCTTTTCTGCTGCTTTGAATTGTCTAGCAACTGAAGAGACAAGGCCTTGTGGATACTGTACAGAATGCACTGATTTCATTTCTGGAAAAAACAATTATTTTTGGGAAGTTGACGGCACCAATAAGAAAGGAATTGATAGAGTTAGGCACCTTTTGAGAAACCTGTCAGTGGCACTCCCACCTGGTTCCTCAAGATACAAGGTTTTTGTATTTGATGAGTGTCACTTGCTGCCATCAAAGACATGGCTAGCATTTCTCAAATTTCTTGAAGATCCATTGCAACGAGTTGTATTCATATTTATTACAACAGACATTGAGAATGTGCCCCGTACCATTCAATCACGGTGTCAGAAGTACCTTTTCAACAAAATTAAAGAGGGTGACATTGCAGCCAGGCTTAGGAAAATCTCTTCTGATGAAAATCTTGATGTTGAATCGGAGGCATTGGATTTGATTGCTCTAAATGCTGATGGTTCACTTCGAGATGCAGAAACTATGCTAGACCAGCTAAGCTTGCTGGGGAAAAAGATTACTACATCTCTTGTAAATGAACTTGTGAGTCTGGTTTGACACAATCTAATTGTTTTACTAGGAACTTGAACATGTGATTCATTATCAAAGTAAAAATGATCGGAATAAAAAATGTTGAACTTTAATCAAATTATTGTCAGATGGATATTTTTCTACTTAAAAGAATATTTTAGTTGATTCTAACTTATTTCTCTAATCTGCTGGCCCTTCTATAGGTAGGAGTTGTCTCAGATGAGAAGTTATTGGAACTTCTGGAATTAGCACTATCATCGGACACTGCAGAAACTGTGAAGAGGGCGAGAGAATTGATGGACTCGGGGATTGAACCAATTGTTTTGATGTCTCAGCTTGCGAGCCTTATTATGGATATAATTGCTGGATCATACA